AATGTGTGCGCACTCAATGTATATATATATATATATATATATATATATATATATATATATGCGCACACACACTATATTTAAGTATTTGAGCTGATTTTTTTTCTACAGATAGATGAGCAAACTTTCTCTGATCTGAGAAGCAAACAGAGCACAAAAGATCCTTATCCCATCTACACCGTGATTGATAAGCAGAGCCATGAGGATAAACTAGATGCTGGTAATATCAGTATGTTTGTCCGTTGTATGTTTGTATACTGTGCCTGTGACTTACAGTGTTCTGTCATAGATACGTTTGTTGAGATCACGCCACATGAGACTGGCTACTCCATCACTGGGGCCTTTGTAGATACTTCCAGTTTCGGAAGTCAGTTTGACCAAGGAGCTCAAATAAAAGACCAGCCCGAGATGGACATGCTGTTCCTGCAAGGTGAACTGAAACAACACATGTCCTGGTCATCAGTCTATTTTGTTGGTTGCTGAATTTGTTTTTGGTTTTTTTGCAGGTCTCTGTGGTAGTGGTCTTGCTAGCATTGAGAAAATACTAGAGGAACTGTTAACTTTAATCAAAGGTAAGCTCACTTTGTTATTATTATTTGATCAAAAATACAGTATGCATATTAAAAACTATAAATTATTTGATCAAAAATAAATGTTCTATTTTAATATACTTGAAAGTGTCATTTATTTCTGTGATGTTGCAAAACATAAAGATACCTGTTCTTTTTAGATTTAATTTTGGGTGAGTTAGACATGATGGGTGACTATGCGTCTTCAGACATAAAACAAACAGACATTCGCTCCCTCAGCGCTCCACATGCTGACGAGGCTGGCCAAGTGCTTTTGAATCTTGTGGAAGTGAATCGTCTGGTTTTAAGAGAGGAGGATCCTTCATCTCATATTACAGTCCTGAAGGACTTACTGAGAGGTATCCATCACATTACTAATAGATTTAAGCTAAGCATAGGAGTAATAACAGGCTGCTTTGAAGGATGTATTGTAAAATTACACATTTTGTTACCTGAATGAAGACTGTAGGTGATGTGTGCTATTCAGTGCATGATCTAATTATTCTATACATTTCAGGAAATCTGCAGCAAGATAAACATGAGAACTTGTTCACCATGTCAAAAAAAATGAACAAGAAGACCGTTAAGGAATACACACTATATATATGCGACCTGCAGACATCCTGGAATCTGACATGTGAGTTTTTCCTTTATGCATAGTCTGGGACTCAAAACCCACTTTAATTGTAATCTATTTTGTAATTTATTTCTATAATAGATATTGTGATAAGAGGAGTAAGAAAAGCCAGCTTAATTAGTTATTTTCTTATGCCGATAAGAAGAAAGGGACCCATTATGTTTTGTAATCATTCTCTTAATATAGGCAATAGGATATGGGAAAACATTGCTAAATGCATTGAGTTAGTAGTTTGCTGGGTCTGGGGCACAACATACAATTTTCTGCACAACATGACAGGTGAGTAAAATAATTATTTAATAAATTAAAACAGTATATTATTG